AAGGATGGAGGGAGGAAGGGAAGGGAAGAGAATGGAAGGGAAGGGAAGGGAGGGAAGGAAGGAAGGAAGGAAGGAAGGAAGGAAGGAAGGAAGGAAGGAAGGAAGGAAGGAAATGAGACAATATGTTCTTTTTTGAACTACAAATTTTAGGGTCATGTAAAAACTAAGCCTCCCTATTCTGTGTCTGCTTGCTTTCTCTCTGAATACCCACTGTACTAGAAATTTCCCTCACTTTCTTTAACTTAATCTCCACAATAACCCCATGAAATAGGTCTTATTACTCTGAGGTTGATCCCATTTATAACCTGTTAGAAGTCCTAGAACAGAGAAATAGTGTGACTGGGGTGGGGAGTGGGTACACACCCAATGTCTCTGAGTCCAGTACTTCTCTTTCTTTGGTATTATTCTGCATTCCCTTCTGTCCATTTCCAAAAGCACAATTCCATTCCCATGGTAACTATTGACTGCTATAACTTTTGAGAGATTTCATTCCATATTTTCTATCAGGATTTTTACTCAGCTAAATTATTAACAATCCATTTTTCCATGTTTGGAAATTTCTGTTATTTATGCCTACATATCTATGCCTGGAACATAATCCAGAAAAACTGTAGCCCCTGAATACTGTGGTGCTGTGAGAACCCAAATACTTCCTCAACCAGGGCATTCAGAGAGCTGTGAGACTGTATAAAAGGCATTCTTTCCTATGCTAGATGGAGCCCAGAAGTCCCAAATGTAACTAGGAGAAGAAACCCTTGATATTTCTGGAAACTATGCCCAAATTCCGAGCAATCCCAATTGGTATGTATGGTAATATAGTATTAAAACATTGAGAAACTATCTTAAATGTGATAGAGGAAGGGAATTAATGGAGTAGTTAAGAAATTTACAGAGTATAGATTGTACCTTCTTACCAGAGAGATGCCATATTTGACCATATTTTTTCCTATAGATAAAGCATTGTTTATATTCTAACTAGAATCTGAAATAAGCTCATATTGCAGCAAAACAAATAATCCATTTTTTGTTGTGACCAGTATCCATGTGAGAGTGTGCACTATATATCCACTGTAGAGAATACCCTCTGGGGTAGGATAATTTCAGCTACCCATGCTATCCATGTTCCTTTGACACCTCTTAATTTCTGAGTTCTTCTGAACTGAGAATGTCATGTGAACGTGTGCCTTTTGTTAAGGTCAAAGACAGACCTGGTCTGTGCAATTATAAAAGTTCCACTGATAGAAGTTAAGCACAGTTTTAAAACATTTCTTTGGCTACCTTATTTTTTTTAAAGAAAAATATTATTTTAAAATTAAATTGCCATTCTAGTCCCTTCAGGATCCAGATGACTTAGGTGAATGGTCAGAGAAGAAGGGAAATGAGCTGATTACAGATGTACTGCATCTGTGTCTATGTCAGAACACCCAGCCTTGAATTGCTGGCTTCATGGGGTTTTAATGGAGAGTAGAAAAGCATTTTGAAGTCTCAAGAATATCTGTGGTTACGGGAGCAAAGTTATGGGTTTAGTGTTAGGTGAAAGTCTGGGGCACCTGGTTGGCTCAGTTGTTTAAGCATCGGTCTTTGGTTCGAGTTATAATCTGATGGTTTGTGGGTTCAAGCCCCATGTTAGGCTCTGTGCTACCAACTAAGAGCCTGGAGCCTGCATTGGATTCTGTGTCTCCCTCTCACTCTGCCCCTCTTCAGCTTGCACTTTGTCTCTCTCTCTCTCTCTCTCTTTCAAAAATAAAATAAACATTAAGAAAACTTAAACAACAATGTTTGGTGAAAGTCTGCATTATTAATATTCTTTTAGATAACAAAACACTAACAGAAGCCTGCCTTTTTATTTTCCTTGACAAAGTATTAGTAAATCAAGTATTTTTTATCCAAATGCAACACTTTAGAGGTTTGAGAAGGAAATATGATAATATGTCTCTATCTGCCTTTTCTTATTACTTTTTTTAACCACACACACACAAATCTGTTCACATTTTGGTGGTTGTTTTAGTTTCCTTTTAATGCAATTACAGAATTATAAGTACACATATTCACATATTTTTGGGAGGAGTCTTATTTATGTTTGAATAGATAAGATATAGAAATGTACATTAATTTATTTAAAATTTATTAAAATCAATTTATGCTAAGTATCTTTCTTTCAATGGTAATTATTACTCTTAGGAAAACAAAGAAATTAGGAGAAAATTTATTTAAAACATGTTTCAGTTTTTGTTCAAAAGTAAAGATATATTTTTAGTTTTTTAATTAAAAAATGTTTATTTATTTAGAGATAGAGAGTGAGCAGGAGAGGGACAGAGAGAGAGGGAGACAGAGAATCCCAAGCAGATTCTGCACTGTCAGCGTGAAGCCTGACGCAGGTCTTGAAGTCACCGAACTGTGAGATCATGATCTGAGCCAAAATCAAGAGTCTGACACTTAATGAAATGAGCCACCCAGATGTCCTGGTAAAGGTATATTTTTTAAAGTTTCCATTCACAGTTTACGGATGGAAGCTTGGGATTTGGAAGGCAAATGTAGAAAAACAATGAGATATAAGGATGGGATTGCTGGACTTGACATTAACTATGTGGATACCGTCAGTGATGTGAATCCACTAGTCAACCTGGCTAAAAAGCAGGCAAGGAAGGTGGTATCTCAAGACATAGCCTAGAAACATCAGTACGTTAAAGTATAGATGATTATGTTTAAGGAGTGGAAACCACACATAGTCTAGTAAATAAACTAGTTATTGCCTTGTGTGAACATTCTAGACAATCTGAAGAGTACAAACATTTTAAAATATGGTAACTACACTAAAATAACATGGATTATGCAGTAAAGCAGAGTTATATATCTTCACTTCAACCCCATGTTAGCTCATCAAGGAGTGGCTGTGATGCAGTGTATTGCATAATGACTTTCTGTTGTTTATTTCCTTCTCCTCTCATGGGTAGAGAACATTTTCTAAATAGACATTTTACTAGTCCTGACTGATGGGGGACTCTACACAAGTTCCAAGCATTTACCAAGTATAGACTTCCTAGTCACTATCCCTATGTCTGGTACATTCCATGTAGGTATTCTAGGGGGGTAAGTGAGTCTTACATTTCAGCTCCACCAAGGAAAAGAAACTATAGTAGAGGAGAATGTCAATCTGTTCAACTGAGAGAGGTTTTAATACTGTTATTCTTTGAGTGAGAAGGGAGTAGTTACCTCATTAGATTTTGCTTACCTATCCCTAAGTAAAAGTAAAAGAGTGGAAAGTCTCAGAGGCTTTCACCTAAGAAGATGAGCATTTATGTAGCAAAGGGCTTTTGGATGTATCATCTTCCTAAAGTGGGTCCAATCAGGCAGAGGGAAGTAATTTTAAAGGACTGGGGAAAATGTAATTGTGATAGAGGATGAGGGCAATACTTTTTGCTCGTATTGATATGTTCACTTACCAGGGATTGAATTTGATTTGATTTGATTTCATTTAATTTCTTTTTTTTTTTATTTTGAGAGAGAGAGTGAGAGTGTGAGTGGGGGATACGGAGAGAGAATATTAAACTCCAAATTCAATGTGGAGCTTGACATGGGCCTTGATCCCATGACCCTGGGATAATGACCTGAGACAAAATTAAGTCACCTAAACTGACTGAGCCACACAGGTGCCCTAACTTAACAGGGATTTTAATCACTTATCAATCAATAATCCTGGATATGAGCAAGCCACTTTGGGATCCATGTTATATTGTACATCATAATCCTAAAGCATGTGTCAATATCCACAGCTGACAGTTTTTACTGGAATGTTTGCTGGCTAGGGGACCAGCCAAACTGCATGAGAGTGATGATGAAACCTTGAGTAAGTGCCTGATAGGAGCAAGCAAAGAACCCACAACATCATAAGCTCAGGTATGAGAGTTAAAACACATGCACACAATTCAAAAAGACTCAAAATTTGGGGGCGCCTGGGTGGCTCAGTTGGTTAAGCATTAGACTTCGGCTCAGGTCATGAGCTCATGGTTTGTGGGTTTAAGCCCTATGTTGGCTCTGTGCTAGCAACACGGGGCCTGCTTGGGATTCTCCCCATTTTTCTTTTTCTGCTCCTCACCCACTCATGCTGTGTCTCTGAAAATAAATAAATAAACTTAAAAAAAAAGACTCAAAACAGTTACCATTGGGTTTATGCTATTCATTAATGTTTAAGGCAGAGGAAGGAGGTGAAATTTAAATAACGATGTCTGCAAATAAGTTGTTGCCAACTTAAAAAGGCATACGTGTTTATATATCACAGGGGATGTTAGGAAAAAGACATAGATATTCATGTCTTAAACCAGAACGCTGGATTATGTTAGGAAGGGCTATTCTAAGACCACTGACTCAAAAAAAGTTATAATTTGGAGTTAAGTGATTATTACATAAAAAGGAATTCACTTACATAGTAGTAGGTAGACTTGTTGAATGTTGGCCTGGGTCTTCTCCCAGACTGACAGTGTAAAGAACAATAGGCTAGTGGCACTGAGGTCGCTGATCAGCAGACTGCTCATAATTTTGTTTGTGTTGACCACCTGAATTCAGATGGGCTTCTATGAAATAAGAAGGAGGCAATTAAACTCTGTTCTTTTATTTGACTTTATTGTCTTTTATATCAACTGCTTGTTTGAAGAAAAAGCAGAAAGTATTAAGACAACTTAAACTGAGTTGTTTTTCTAAGTTGTTTTCTCACCAATATTTGAAAAATGCCTTTTTTTTTTCATCTTGAGTACTTTGGAGAGTCAACTAGATTAAAAATTTCTATGGCTTTAAAACTGTACTTCTGTATTTCTCTAGCTGCTAGGCAATGGGGCTCCTAATCCATTACAATGAGAAAAATACTGAAAACCTCAGCCTAATTAATAAAATTATAGGTAAGGCAAAGACATCTATGAGCTGAGAACTGTTGTGCACATGTAATGAGGAGGGAAGAATTAAGCAGTGTAATTATGGATGTGTTCCACTTCCCACATTTTTTTTCAAGCGTCAAACTGTTAATCATTCAGATGTTCACCAGCCACAACACTGGGCCTAGATAAGCCTCTCTTCTTTCTGCCACCTAATGACATGAATGTGACACAAAAGCAACCATACCTGCAATGCCTCTGGGGCAGTGTATTTGGAAGATTGAACAATTCAGGTTTTATTTTCCTGTGGATGAAGGATCAGCTGGCCCTGACTTAGGATATTGCACAGAAGAGGCTGAAATTACAAAACATTTATACTTCAAGGTGAACATATTCTAACACCAATGTGTTAACTCATCTGAGACCCCAGGACACTCTTCCAGGCACTAAGTTTCCAGCATTCAAACTCTCAGCAAGAAGGCTGCCTTGCTTCTCCTCCCTTGGCCCATGTAGCACAGGGGGTGCACATGCAGCAGCTTGAGTCAGGCCGGGTCATGTCCAGCGTGGAGCCCAATATGAGGCTTGAAATCACAACCTGAGATCAAGACCTGAGCTGAGATCAAGAGTCAGACCCTCAACCAACTAAGCTACCCAGGCACTCCTACTTCCTACATTTTTAACTGTACTATTTTGATTATATCTTCATAGGCCCTTATGAGATGACACTTTCCATGTTTTTAAGGATTATTTTATTTCTAATTTCAACTTCTTCCCATACTGTTATAGAAGCCTGGGACATAAAAGGTTATGATTTCCCTAACCTGCTGTTTTTAAAACAAAGTTTTGTTTGGTGGAATCCCATCTGCTTGGTGCCTATCAGTTTCTAGCCCATCATTTCCTAGCTGTCTACTCAAGGAAGAGACTGAGTTAAGACTGTACTATAAAAGAAGTACTAGATGTAAATATGTGTAGCACAGATCCCTTACCTTAAAGAATGTGCTATTAGATTGTTAAGTCAACAGTGGCAAGTAAGACATCGAACATCAGAAGGTGGTATACAATTAAAGGCTACAAATTTCTTCCTCCCCCCACAGAGGCCCATAGGTATATCCTCCCTTCAGAGCATCCTGCTGTACAGCCCCATTTCATGTGCCATCAATCCCTTTTTCTTCTTCTGGGTGCCACTTCTGAGCACATATGACTCGCAGTGTATAAGAGCACATGGTTTGGAATGTAAGCATCTTCAAAATTCAGTTTTTGAGAGGGAATGTTAGGGTCAAGACCCCTCTGGGTCTCTGCAGCACGCATCCTTATCCACATGTGAACTCCTGTCTGGAGTGTAATCTGGGAGGAGTCTGCTCCTCCATGTTACCCAATACAAGTTACCATGTTACTTGGAGCATTTACATGCCAGTGTAGATGAATAACTGTCCAGTCACCTGGATGGTATGGCACAGGATCTGCATCAGGCTCCTCAGCACAGCTTTGACTCCTGTACACCAGATGTTGTAGGACACTGAATATATCTCATACATGATGGTCTTTTTTTTTAAATTTTTTAAAATTTATTTCTGAGAGAGAGAAACAGTGTGAGCAGGGGAGGGTCATAGAGAGGGAGATACAAAATCTGAAACAGGCTCTGAGCTGGCTGTCAGCACACAGCCTGACACGGGGCTTGAACCTATGAACCGTGAGATCATGACCTGAGCCGAAGTCGGTCGCCCAACCAACTTAGCCACCCAGGCACCCCCATGACGGTCTTGATGTTGCATTTTTTGCCTCCTTTGTCATAGGTTGATTGACCACATAAGTGTGGGTTTGTTCTAGGCTCTCTGCTCTGTTCCAGTGATCTATATATCTGTCTTTGTGTTGGTACCATACTGGTTTTTTTAGGTTTATTTATTTATTTTGAGAGAGAGACAGAGAGAAAGAGTGAAAGAGAGAAAAAAGAAAAAAAAATTTAAAAAAAGAGAGAGAGAAAGCACATGCATAAGTGGGGGAGGGGCAGAGAGATAAGGAGAGAGAATCCTAAGCAGATTCCACATTGTCAGAACAGAGCTCAACACAGGGATAGATCCCACAAAGAGTGAGATCATGACCTGAGATCTTGATCATGAAATCAAGAGTTGGCCACTTAACTGACTGAATTACCCATACTCTGGTACCATACTGTTTTGATTATTACAGCTTTGCAATATTGCTTGGAATCTGGAATTATGATGCCCCCAGCTTTGTTTTTCTCATGATTGCTTTGTCTATTATTTATTGTATGTATTGTATTATTTATTCTAGTTTTGTGAATATGCTGGTAATATTTTGATAGGGATTGCCTTGAATCTGTAGATTGCTTTGGGTAATATGAACATTTTAACAATAATAATTCCTGAGCATGGAATAACTTTCCATTTTTCCATTTGTTTGTGTCATCTTCAATGTCTTTCATCAATGTTTTATAGTTTGGGGGTATAAGTCTTTCACCTCCTCAGTTAAGTTTATTCCTAGGCACTTTATTTTTCTGGTGCAATTGTAAATGGTGTTGTTTTAAAAATTTCTCTTTTTCTCTTTCTGCCACATCATTATTAGTGTATAGAAACACTACCATTTTTTGCGTATTAATTTTGTACCATGCCACTTTACTGAATTCATTTATTACTTGTAGATTTTTTTGGTGAAGTCTTCAGGATTTTCTATGGATAGTGTGATGTCTTCTGTACATAGTGACAGTTTAACTTCTTTACCTTTATGGATGCTTTTATTTCTTTTTCTTGTCTGATTGCTGTGGCTAGGGCTTTCAGTACTATGTCAAATGAAAGTGGTGAGAGTGGACATCCGTGTCTTGTTCTCGATCTTAGTGGAAAAGCTTTCTGTTTCTCACCATTGAGTAGGATGTTAGTTGGGAGTTTTTCATATATAGTCTTAATTATGTTGAAATATGTTTTCTCTAACCCCATCTGGTTGAGAGTTTTTATCATGAATGGACATTGAATTTTATCAAACGCTTTTTTTGCATCTATTGATGTGGCCATTTGACTTTTCTCTTTTTTTGTTTGTTGTTGTCATTTATGACATTGATTGATGTGTGAATATTGAACACACCCTTGCAGCCCAGAATAAATCCCATGGGATCATGGTGAATGATCTATTTAATGTATTGCTATATACCATTGGGATTTTGTTGAGGATTTTTGCATCTGTGTTCATCAGGGATTTTGGCCTATAGTTTTCGTTTATTTGTGTGATGTCTTTTTCTGATTTTGGTCTCAGAGTAATTCTGTCCTTGAATGTGTCATAGACTCTGGCTCTAGAGTTCTTTCCTCTCCAGCAAGAAAGTAGGATGTAGGATTAAAATGCTAGAGATAGCAAATGTGGAGGAGAAGACAAGAGACCCAGGTAAGGATCCTTGCTCTGTATTTATTAGGATCAGAAGCCTTATAAGCATGATGGACATGCATAAAGAGACAATGAATCTGTGACCATTAACTCATGGGAGTGAGAGAAAGGGTGGGGGGGAGTTGAAGGTATATGGTGTTAGGGGTTTAGGTCAATATAAAACAAGATCCTGGTGCTGGGCAGATGGTTATTACCAGCAGACATGAGGTGCCCTGTCTGTTTATCTTAACTGGGCCTAGAGGATAAGACAGAGAATGCTATCTCAGGGTCAATAAGGTACCTTTCTTTTGTTAATTAGCTCCGCTCTGGGCAACTTCACCTCACAAAGGTCTATAGCTCTATCTACCTGTTTACCTAGTTTGGTCCATCCTTCCTGTGAAAGCAGCTTTCTACTATTGTACTAAGTTGGGGTGCCTTTCTGCCCTGAATACCTAATCTCGTTTATCTCATATACTTTTGTTCTATACTGGGGCCTTTGCCCTGCCCTCTCTATACCTATTTACCTAATCTTGTTTGCCCCAACTTGAGTGAGCATCTAATTCTTTATGCCTTATCAACCCATTGGTGCAAGCCCAGGGAATTCCTAAACTTATTTCCCACACGAATGTATTTGGAAGCTTTCCTTTCTCTCCTATTTTTTGGAATAGTTTGAAATAGTTTGTTTTGTTCTGTTTTTGTTTTTGTTTTTGTTTTTTCTGGTTCAATTTCCTTACTTATAACTAGTCTGTTCAGATTTTGTATTTCTTCCTGGTTCAGTTTTGGAAGATTGAGATGCAATTGGAATACTATGAAACTCTTAAAATCAAGTAAATAATCCTACACATACAGATCTGGAAAGATTTAAATATTAAGTGAAAAGAAAGTACATAAAATTAATATAAAACTTTGTGTTTGAATAAAAAAATTCTCCAAGAATGAATACAAAATATTATAAATAGCAAGTCCTGAAAAGTAAGATTACATGTGGCTTTTACTTCCTCAAGTCTGAATTTCTGTTTTGATTAAATGATCTAAAACAGCTTATATTGTTTTTTTACTAAAAAGCATTATTTTTAAATACAAAATAAGAAGTTCAAGATGTGCACCCTTTCAAATTCAGATTGTATCACATGTGGGAACAACTCTACAGTCATAAAAGTATCAAGACAGCCACTTTAAAAATGCTCTCAGAGATTCATTGCCATGATCAAGTCTCTTGTGAGCAGTCTATTGCTATTGTTTAGTTGATGGATACTAATAAGGAAGGATATGGTAGGAAAGGGCAGGAGAAGGGAGGAGTGAGAAAGTACAGGAACAATGAAAGAAAAGAAAGAGAAGAGAGGAATAGAAGCAAGCAAGGATTACCATAAAGGTTTTAAGAGAGGCAGCTAACATACATACCAAGACAATATTTCCTGTTTCTTCTGTTGCCTACTTACTGCTTATAATTTCTCAGTAACTTTTCCTTCTCTCTTAATACCACAGTTGACATATAAAACTCTTGGTATCTGTCTACAGCCCATCTCTCTTGCACCTCACAAATGTCATGAACTACCTTGTTCTTTTATGAATGCTCAGCTTTACCTATACTTTTGTTCTGCACTTAAGGTACCCTGACCTTTTTCATGGCTGATTATTTCTCATTCTAAAAATTCATTCCATCTATTCCATAACTAGCCAATGATGTCTCTCTCTCCTCCAGTCTGGATTAGATATTCCTCCTCTATGCTTTCCCATTATACTTGCAAACCTCTCATAATAAAATTTTCATGATAGTATAATTTACAATTATATAGTCTCTCCATCTCCCCTGCTAGGTCTATGAGCTTCTTGAGAGAAGGGACTGTGTCTTAGTCATAAATGCTGGCCCATGTCAGTGCTGTGAGTTTGGGAAAAAAG